ATGACCATGTTATGGCAGGTCACCTGGGCATTGAAAAAACCAAGGAGTTGATCCTTCGAGATTATTGGTGGCCCAAGATGCGACGAGAGGTGGAGGCCTATGTTAGAGGATGTGAAGTTTGTCAACGAACTAAAGCCAATCGACGCCCTAAGAGGGCTCCATTACATCCCAACGAGATACCCCAGAGTCCATGGACCCACATTTCGGTAGACATGATCACCAAGTTCCCCGACTCTAAGGGGTATGACTCCATCCTGGTTCTAGTAGATCGTTTCTCTAAGGCCATCATCCCCATCCCCTGCATGGAAGAACTAACGTCTACGGATTTCGCCAAGATCCTACGCGACTATGTCTACGTCCCATATGGGATTATGCTGAAGAAAGTAATCTCAGATCGAGGAGCAATTTTTGTCTCCAAATTCATGAAAGAGTTCTACACACTATTAAAGGTGGAAGGAAACCCCTCAACAGTGTACCATCCTCAAACCGATGGACAAGCTGAACAAGTCAACCAAGAGATCGAGAAATACCTCAAGATGTTCGTAAACTCCTGACAAGACGATTGGAGCGACTGGTTGCCACTCACTGCCTTCACCCACAACAACCGAGAACACTCTTCCACCGGGTACTCACCGTACAAGGTGATCTTCGGTCAGGATAGAGAGGTTATTACTCAAGCCTGTCCTGCTGGGACGGTCCCCGCTGCCTCTAAACTCATAGATGGAATACAAGAGGTACAGGAAGGGGCCAAACAAGCATTGGAGAAAGCCGCGGAGACTATGAAGAGGGCCTATGATAAACACAAAAGATCGGCGGTTGAGTACTCACCAGGGGATCAGGTGTGGCTAGATGCTACCAATCTACATCTACCACGACCCACGAACAAACTGGGAGACCGACGGGTTGGCCCGTTTAAAGTTATATCAAAGAAAGGGGCAGCGACATACGAATTGAAGCTACCCATGAAGTGGCAGATCCACAACTGGTTCAACGAATCACTCCTTACTCCGTACGTCGAACCAGTGTACAAGAACCAACCGTGCCCAGAGCGACCCCCCCCAGAACTCATCAATGAAGAAGAAGAATATGAGATCGAAGAGATTGTAGAACAAAGAAATAGGATTGTGGGACATGGTCAAAATCATAGAGAAATAACCGAATATCTGGTCAAATGGAGAGGGTACCCAGCAGAGGAAAATTCATAGGTAAAATGATCCAACATGGCTAACACAGAGGAATTAGTCAATGAATACGAAACTCGTATCCAAAAGATCCATTGGACTGTCAATAACAAAGGGAAAACGGTCGGTGTCAACGACAATATCCCCACCAATGGGTGTACTCCCTTTCATGACCCGAGTACCCCCTGTGTTACCGATATTACAACAGTTCCTCCCTCTGAATGCACAAATCCTCTACACTCCGATACCCAACAAGACTCTTATCCCTCTTCTGAATATTCCGTGCTTACACACCCCAAAAATATTCCATCCACCAACACCTCTGACGGACCCGCCGAGACCCATAAACTAAATGATTGGATTGACATGTTGACCAAGGCAAAGGGGGGATACTCGCAAAATACAAAAGTGGAGGATCCTAATGAAACTGAGGATGAATCCAATGTTGATCTTGAACACCTCCAATGAGTCCATGAGAACTGGGAAGGGGATAGCAACCAGGACGAGGAAGAATCACTTTCCTATTACACAGAATCCTACTCAGAAGGAGACTCAAGCTCGTTCAGGATGAACGAGTCTTAAGAAGGGGGTAATGTTACAGTTTATTTATTTTTCTTTTCTTTTCTTATCTCTTGTGTTACAATATGCTTGCTTCTTTGGTGTGATCACAACGGACTTGTTCCCACAGTACTATTATTAACCTATGCATTGTGTATTTAAGTAGAGCCTCAGCTGGTCTAAACCCCAGCTTCGGCTAAGGTTTAATCTACCCAACTCGAACTCCATGTTTTGCGACTATCTAAGTTCGCCTCCCACTCGTATAACCAGACTTTGACCTCTAAGTGTATCGACCCACTGAAGTGCGAGTGGCGATCCTTAGTTGATCCAAGTTTGTGAGTTGGTGGCTAACACCGAAAAGGAATGTGGGGGGGCACCACCACCATCAGTGCCGACTACCATATCAGATTCAGTTGGATGAGTCAGGAACTAATGAGCTCACCTTATTCCCAGGCCATGCCAAGTGGCATCCAGCAAAATCACAGAAAAATCATTAAATCCCCTAAAAATTGAAAATAAATCAGCAAATATTCCATAAATTTTGCATAAAATCCATGAAAATACCAGGAAAATCTGATAAATTTCCTAAAAATTCGACAAAGTCAGAAATAAAATTAAGGAAAATCCAGATAAATTCCAACCTTTGTGTGACTGACCTGCAATTAGTCAGTATAGTACTCGTCACAGGGTATACCTTTGGTAATCTTATGGAACTTCACCGTCAGCAAGCATGCGCTAGCAGGGTCTAGGGAAATGATACAGAGTAAGAAGGAATGGGTGAAGGGGGAACACGAGTTGAGGAATAGAATTTGTGGCATTTGAAGAGATCGTAAAGTTGTTGTTCATGTTGTTCATACCGTATACTGGGGTGAACAGTCTGCATAGTACAGGAGGTATAGCTGGAGCTAGTAAAATGTGTATTGTATGTTGGAAGGGTATCATCCGGGAGTCGTTTCATCTCTCTGACGTGCTTCTCGACCTGATGAAGTAGCTGGTCTGAGGGATGGATTTTTGCGCAGACTTGGCCAGTCTGTTCTGCATCACCAGGAGCACTTGGTATTATGTCAGAGAATGTCTAGAGGTGGTTTTATGACAGCAAACAAATCTGCAGAGAAACAAGCCTTACCATTGGTGAAAGGTGTTGGGTGGCTAATGTGATGGTTACCGGTTCTGGTGCATCTTGTACTCACCAAGTCTCTATCCAGGAAGTAACAATGGGTGGATCATGAGTGAGGAGCACTGGTAGTCAGGCTTCTGGCTGGTTCTGGCATGCAAAGGTATAAGAGCATAAATGAGCTGTTAAGGATGATTGTATGGTCAAGAGGTCATCAACCTGGGTAATTCTACAGCACTACCGCAACCACACAAACATGAGTGATATAAGAACAGCCAGATGGAACGTGCACTGAGGGTATAAGAGTTATAAGACTGTGACGTGGCGAGCTCAAGGCACTCACAAGAGGGAGATTGTGATCCACAACGTTCTATTTATTCCACATATTCATGCACTTTTTAAACATTGTGCAGAGGAAGCATAAGGACCAGGTAAATATAGTCCAAGGAGGAAAAGGTATTTGAAGTAGAAAGGATGACTGGAAAAGGTTGAAGGGGCACTGTGACTGTGACTTAGCCTGTGACATAACATTACTCCGGATCAGCTGGGTCACCCAGGGGTGCCAGTTGAGTAACCAGAACAGATCAACCTCACTTCACCTCAGTTAAGGATAAACCATAAATTGCTACATGAAATAACGATCTTGATTTGACATACAGGTGTTGGATAAGGGGGTGGATTATTAAGTGACAGGAGAACCCTTGAAGGCAAACAAACGCACAAGGGTGTCCCGCTCTACATACAAACTTTTATACTACTTTGTAAAGAAACTACTAGAAATTTCATGCAGAGAAAAGAAACAAAGCTGAGTAATACTTATCAATCCCAACGGTAAGTCTGGCAAGGGCACTTGCGATGATCCACCCTAAAAATAGCACAACAAGCACAGAGTTCAACATCCTTCCACAGGGAAATGAAGTGCAACTCCAAAAATTTCAACAGATATTTAGTTACTGTGGTTCACAAATGGTATTATGTCTTTGTTCTAGTGATCTACATCCATATCCTCGTTGATCAAATTGCCTTCATGTTCGCATTCGCTTTGAGAGTGATGGTTGCATTTGGATGACAATGATGTGACTGGCACTATATCATTGGCAGGAGGTCTCTGTGGGAAAAAATTTTAGTTAGAAATGGCAAGTAAGGGAGTTAAATACCTTTGCAATTTGGAGCACCCTCCATCTGCCTGTGCTGATACGCGTGGTCGTTTTCTTTTTTTTTAAGGTTGGTGGCCAATGCCCTTCATTGATCGAGGGAGCAGACAAAGAATGGACCAGAACCGGAAGGCTGGAGATAGATTGACGTAACGACGGTGCTATTGTGGTTATGGATGGTGTGGATGTGGGCACAGGAGGAACCGCAGGACCGTGGTTAGGTAAATGTACAGAAGAAGTAGCAGAGTTGAGTGAAGAAAGAGCAGCATGCTTGAGTGCTAGTCTATCAGAACGATGAAGCAGAAGAGGCTGAAAACCCTTTTGCAAATAAATGAATTTTCGAAGTCTTAAGAGAAACCCTTACCTTGGGCTTGTTTCGATCGATCCCTTTGTTTTTGGAGCGGACCATGATGCTTTGATGGAAGCAAGGGAAAGTTGGGAGGATTGGACTTGGACTTGTGGACTTGATGTTTCTTTTTGAGTGCTCATGAATCGCCCGGATGGATATAATTTGCGTATTATCGGATCGACACCTTACTGCCTGTGTTGTCTGTGTTGCCGTATTGCATTGCCGAACTTGATCTTCTGATCTTCTTTTGATGCAGCCTGATCTTCTGAGGCGAATTGACTGATCTTCTGATACATACTGTGAACCTTTAAGGTACATAAGTGACAGCAAAGCTTTTGTCCTGTGCCAATGTAAACCATTTGGTGAGGTAGGAGTGTATTCTAAATCTGCTATAAAATACATAGATAGCAGTTCATTAATAAGCAAGTCTTGTTTATAAACCCCTGTATTTTTCTATAGTTTGTAAGTTGAAATAACAGTTTGCTTAAGTTCAGAGAGAATGTTGGATCTGGATCTGGCAATGCCATCTCTGATCACTTCAATTTCACTTGCTTTGGATTTGGATTTAATACTGAATTTGGTCATGGTGGAAGTGCTTGAAATCGGATTAGGTGTCAAACATGTGCTCTTTTTTTGGGGGGCATCTATGAAAATTCTAAACGGGGAATTCCAGCAGCGACTCTGCTGTTCATAATGACTGCTTTTTTATCACCAGCTGAAAGTTAATTTCATTCAGTTAAATTTGGTCAGTACTACATTAGGATATAGGCACAGGCACAGATATGGTGAACTGAAAACTTGAAGTCAAGTCCTGGTACCCCTCAAGGAATTTCACTGGCATGTGCAAAGGCGAGAATGCATCAAGTTTGAAATCATGATATTTCATTACAAGTACGGCAAGTTACCTACAGCTGATAATAGTAGCCCTGTTCAAACCTTCTTTTTGTTACTTCTGTGAGTTTCAAGAGGCAGTCGTCTTCACGTTTTAATTCATTCAATGATGGGTGCCTCATATAAAGCTCGTTTTCGCCTCTTCTGATCAATCATATTGTCGACCTACCATGACTTCTGGACAGTGCTACATAGGCGTTGAAAGGATCCAGCATTCCACTGGGAGGCTTTCCTAGATCAACGATGACATATTCTATTGTCTGTTCTTGGCATTTGTGATGAGTAAATGCATATGCAGGAGTCAAAGCAAGCTGCCTGTGATGAATTCTAGCAGTAGAGCCATCTCTTCTTCGTACTGTAAAGCCTCCCTCATTCGGTACAATAGGAATTAGTCCCTTTGGAAGGCCGGGAAAGACGTAGTCATCTGAAGAAACATCTGGTCTAAACACGATTAAGGCAGGTGGGTACTTTAGTTCCACTTCAATGCCTGTATTGTGTGATATAATTTCTCGACTGTCAAGTACTATTGAGTCGATTGTTCCACGGGTGCCATTGGCGATGTCTGCCTCAGTTGCAATGTTCATCAATACCATAGCTCACATTCCCACTGCTATTTGTATTTTATGGTCTAGCCATGCTGTTTGTTTGGATCTCATTCCCATGACAATGACTTTTTCCTCCATTGTAAGTTCACTCCTGGCTCTACCCGTCATATCTTCAGCGCAGCATGTATACAGGTGCTGACTGGAAGTGTAACAGTATCTGCACAGAGCCTCGGTGTTCCACTGGTCTCTAGGTCCATGTCTTGAAGTGACTAGAATTGCGTCTTTCCATGGCACGGAAGAGAAATCCAATCCTTCTTTGGGATCAATGACAAGTTCATCAAGTCATCGCAAGTCTTCTGCAGTACAAGCTCCTATGTGAAGACAATTTAGAAAAGCCATCCACTCTTCATCCTGAACATGATTCTGCTTCAAAAGGGTGATGACAGTTGTGAATTGTTGATACAGAGCTTTTCCGATGTTAGCACGTTCTCCTTTGGTTCAAGAATCGTATAGTGACGCAGTGGGGTTTCCAACTGGTGGGAACTGATGAAAATCCCCAAATAGAATGACACTCATCCCTCTGAAGGGAAGTGCACCGTTTCCACCACTGTGTGATTTTTCCTTGGATAGGACTTCTGATACCAAGGCTAGCATATCTTTGATCAACATCAAACACTCGTCTATTTCCAAATATTGTTTTCCCTTGATATTGTGCTTTCATTTTCTCGTGGTCTCTTTACTGCTTTTATCATACCAATCATCTGATTTTCCTGGATTAATTGGTATCCCTGCAAACGAATGAAGTGTCTGGCCACCGATAAGGCTAGCTGCTACTCCAGAAGTGGCTGTTTTAGCCAACAAGTTTTCAGCATCGTAATAAAGAAAGGTTTCGGAAATGGCGTTGATCAACACCGTTTTTCCCGTTCCCCCTTGTCCCTGGACCAACATATGTAGTGGTCTAGGGTTTTTTCCTGACAAAAAAGCTTTGAGATGACTTTCGATAATATCATGAGCACGTTTTTGTTCCTCGTTTAGCAATTGCAAGAGAGGTCTACCTTGCAGCTGCCTTTTAGGTACATCTCTACTACCGCCTGGTTCGCTGACTTCTGAGTGTAAGTGTTCCATTGTCCACAGAAGTTCCGCCCTTCTGTCCTCTGTACCATGCCTTCTGTCCTTTTCCTTATCTCTGGTAATCGACTTCAGCAGCTTGTTCCACTCCCAGAATTGTAGAATATCATCGGCATCAGCAATCGGTGCAACCGCTGGCAGAGCAGTGTATACTGTCGGCATGTTGAATATTCCGCAGTCGACAGCCCTTTCCATAGCATTGATTCTGAATTGTACTTCTCTCATCGGATGTCTCAAGGTCTCTGCAATTTTTATGTCTGCTTCGGTATATTCGGAATGGCCGTAACCTCCTTCAAGTTCTCCTTCACCTCCCCATAGTATTGAGTCATCCTGTGATGGACACTGTTCATTGTCCAGGTTCAATAATGCACCGCTTGCTGTACTGCTTTTATCTCTGTGAGCATGATCTGATGCTTCGTGAAAGTACTGTATATTTTTGATGGCGTCTACTTGCTTTGGGGTTAGATTCACCGAAAACCTGTGCCAAGCATCTTCAAAATGCTCTCCTTCATTTTTTAAATCTTTCATGGATCTCCAAGGCATGAACAATGCCAACATTGAAGCGCAATAATATTCTCGACAGTCGTGCCTATTGCTTCTTGGGAACCATGTTCCTACAAACTGGACAATAGTCTCATGACCAGCCTGTCTCTGAACTCTACACCTCTTTCTGTGGTCCATTCTGGTTTGATACGGAATGCCTGCACTTCTTCCTGTACCTGTTTTTCCCTTTGGAGGTTCGCCATCGTATGTTTTGCTAAAGAAATCCATGAACGCGACATGTTCTAAAGCATCTCCCCTATCAGAATATTCTCGTAATTGATCCTTCAGTCTGACTTCCCTGCCGACAAATTCTATGGGCATAGTAACCTCGTCGCTTTGGCTTTGGACTAGCATTCCATTAGAATCGCGGGCCAATTCCTCTGTATATGATCTGCAGAGACAAATTTATAAGACCCGTGTATGGTACGGTATAGTAATAATGTACTTACAGTTTCGCTCAAATTTCAGGATAAGCATCCTGTAAAGCTGCAATGATGGCATCCCAATACACAGTCACATAATGGTGAGATATGAACCGGTCTTCCCATCCCATGACTTGGGATATAGCTTCACAGACACTGAATTCTTGTTCTTTATTCATAGCATGGGCGAATTTCTGGATTAATTTCTTTCCTAGATCTCTGCATTCAATGGTTCTTTTGTCTGCTTCCATCTCAAAGGCCAGTGTACAAGCAAGTGCTGCAGATGTGTTCCAAGTCAGGACTTGTTTTTTAGTAGTGTAGTTCGTAATATACCAGGTGATATCCTTTGTATCGACAGCATTCGTGATCACTTTTATGTCCTGGTTACTTTTCAAGCACTCCATCAATTTGGGACACCAAGCTACCATTTTTGAAGATAGACGTTTGGGTCCCCATTCGCCTGTTGGAAGAACCCATGCATCTGTCGACATGGGGAATGGTGCCTGCCTTTTACATGCTGGAGGACGACCCTCCTTTTTTTTTATGACACACATACCGACCTTGCATTTGTGATACTGCACAGTGCGAGCAACTGTCATCAGCGCTTCGGTCTTTCTTGACTCGTAGCCTGGCTCGGATGGGTGTATAGGCTGAGCATAGGATATGGCAGTTCCTTTTGCCATGTTCTCAATCTCTTCGGAACACGCACCGTTAAGATCGGCAGTGATGTTAGCTCTGATGAACGTTTTCATTTTCTCTCTAAAGGCATCAGACAATAATGCTTGCATCATGGTCTTAGATGACGGTGCTCCTTTCAGCCACAATAGGATATGAAGATGAAGGGTCCCTTGACCCTGTGCTTCTACAGCTCCAATGTAAGCATTCACCAAGCCAAATATCTCTTCCTTCCTTGACATGAAGGAACCAGATGTTGCGCCTTTGATACCAAACAATTCTTGCAATACAATACTTATGACAAGATGAAAGTATTGTGTGGCAGCAAATGGATCTGAAGCCATATTCAAGCCCCGGTCTTCCAGATTGGGTCCTGCAGTTTTAACAAAGTGATCAAGGTCAATATTTTCTCCTGCTAAGACCTGTGCAATGGGATTGTGCATGTCTGAAGGATTGATGGTGATCCACAAGCTGGGCAGATTAAAAACAAGGTTCATACTCCAAATTTTAGATCGGATACTCCTTCTGGACTTGTCTGTTCCCGGAACACAAACACGAACTGCAGATAGCTGCTTTCTGAGAGCCCGTACACCAGGATGGGAGAAGGGTACCCGGTGCGCTTCCTCCTCACTCGCTTTCTTCAGGGTCTCAGGTGTCAAGCTCATTATAGCTGCACGGTTTTTTATGAAACTGGATCTTTTAATTTGAAGGCAGGCAGAACGACATATGTTTCGTTTGTGCATAACTCCGTATACCTGGAAGACGAAGTGGTAGTCTTTTCTGAATCTGCGATCCTCATATTGTAGTGCCCATCTCGAGTGTACTTCATAAGGTACAATTCTGTTCCTATCCACTTCGAACCCTCCACATCCGTAGGGAAATAGCCAGGGAAAAGCACCCAATAGATGGTTTGGATTTTCTGGCCCACTGTCCGTTCTTTTTCCTGTTTCTTTATCTGTTCTTGCATATTCATTGATAAACGCGCTACCTCTTTTGATGAAGTATTTGTCTTCTGGTCTCAGTTTTCATGCTCCTTCTATACCCCCAAGATTGGCCAATGCATGCACCATGATATCTGTATCAGTGATGTCATTGCCATTCACGTCAATTATACCATTTGCATGGAGTAAAAATGTGTCTGTAGAATGTAGCGTTATTGTGTGATGCCTGTCACAACAATAAGATGCATATTCTTACCTGGTTCTGTAAAGGGCTCTGGTCCTGTCCCAGCACCTGAAATGGGTGCGAAACTGGGTTCTTGAGCTATTAAATGTTAAATGTTATGTTCAATTACAAAAAAACCGGAGCCTACTGACCAAAAAAATCCCAGCTATCCTGATCTGGAATGTAGCTGTCTTGCTCCACAGCAAGACCTGCCATGTCATTGGATGTGCAAACATTGGACAGGATTTCCTCCAGTACTCCATCGGCAGGAAGCTCCACCAGAGCATCGTCGGAAACAATGATATCGCTGTATAGGGGATTATTTTCTTTTAACCACAAAAGCACGTGTCTAACAATTTCCCTTCTGACATGGAACATCTTAGGCAACTCTCTCATCTTGAAACCCCTTGGCATGACGAATGTGATGCCAATAACAGCTGCTAGAATCTTCACTTGCGGTGGCGATACATTGGTGGAAACCAAACCTGCTATGTGACTCGGATTGAGTGGAAAAGAAGATATGTTTCCTTTTAAACCCATATACATTGCACCCTCGCTTAGCCAATGCTCTGCGTGCTCTGCTTTGGGATAGAGTTTGACTAGGTAAGTGCATGGTAAATGTTTTGCTACCAGAATTCGCTCTGCCAAGTTTAATATAGACAGTTCTAATGGTATCTTTCCTCTCCACATGTTATTTGCGAGGGATAAAGGAGGAACTTGGTCAGCTTGTAAATGTTGCAGACATTCTTTACAGGCATAGCCAGAGCCATCTGTGATTGCTTCTTCATGTAACAATGCACCATTGAATAATGTGTGTTTGGGGTGAGGCCGTGAAGGCACCAAGAGGCGTGAAAGGGTCAGATCAGCGACAGTCTTCATTTCCATATTAGAAAGGAAGAGAAGTCTGGCACATACTATACACACCCCTTGAGCGAGTTCTGCATTGGAGGTTCTTTTGATGTATCTTTCAATGCAACCCTTTCTGGTGTCCACGCTTGCATTGGAAAGAAATGGTCCATCTATAAGCTTGCGAACAGTTTGTTCATCTTCTTCATCGAGATTCATGAGCTGAGATTCCGATCGAGATTCCAATTGACAGTTCATCCGATCCATCTGCAATGTGATAGCCATGTCTACGGGCATATCCATTGGCACGTCGAGGCGTCTCCTTATCTGTTCATCTGTCTCTCCCCTGTTCTCATGTTCTCCTGCATCCAGTTTTCTTTGTTTCTTCCATATAGTGCAATTACTTGTGGCCTTCCTCTTTCTACCTCCTGCTGATTCTCTAGCTGCCAGTTCCCTGATTGTTTGCTGAATACAGGATGGTTGCATTTCAATGTATTTCAATAGGCTCAATCTCATGTGTTTCTCTGTGCTTCAGATATGAATCACCTGACTAACAAGTTCAGAAAGTCATCCAACAGTAAAGAAAGCAAGTTCATTCTCCATGGGAGTACCATCATGGAAGGATAGATTACTTCTTTTCATAGTTTGGAGGGGTGAACAGAGACAAAAGATAGCATTAGATGGGTGGAAACCTTAATTAATAGTTGCAAAGACTATGACCATTGGCACCCAAAAGGGGATAATACATTTAAGATGAACAGGAACAGGAACAGCGTGCATAAGAAACCCATCCCCATCTAACTACGAGCTAAGATTTAGCACTCTCAAAGACTGAGAGTTCCGATCAGACCACTGTGTTCATACCAGTAAATTTTAAATGCCAAGTATGAAAAGGAAAAAAAAAAAAAAAGATGTACTGTGCTGTCTTCAGTGTCTTGATGAGACTTGATCTATCGATGGTCGAAAAGGTCTCAGGAGACATTCTGAGTTTTAATTTGGCCTTCAGCTCCAGATTGAATGGGACCGAATTGTTATGGTTTATTCATTTCTTTTCTTTTGATTACGCATTTTTGCTTACTCTAACATGCGATCATTCATGGACAGTTCCCACAGTACTATTTATATCATAGCCATAGTGTATTTAAGTACAGCCTTTGCTGGACTAAACCCCAGCTTTGGCTAAGGTTAATTCTACCCAACTCTAGCTCCTTGTTTTGCATCTATCTAAGTTCGCCTTCGCTTGTTTTATCAGACTTCAACCTCTAAGTGTATTGATCCACCGAAGTGCGAGTGGCGATCCTTAGTTGATCCAAGTTTGAGAGTTGGTGGCTAACATTTAGCCGAAGCTTGTCACATATTGCCCAGCACCATGTCTGAGAACGAACGTTGCCCAATACATTTGAAATCGATATTCCCCACTTGATCAGAGAGGTCACCACTGTGCGCTCGTGAGGACAGTCTTGAGACTGTTAACACATCGTGGGTGGATCAACGAAAAAGCGCTCCATCCAAAACGTTACTTTATCTATACATCGTTCAACTGTTCGCAATTATAGCAGTCGTACTGCTAGTCGTGATCAGTGAAATCTTCCCCATCTTGGTGGCCACCTTGGTAATTGTGTTCATCGGACTGTTCGCCATCTGAAAAGCTTGATCCCCAAGTATATGCCATCTTTTGCATTTGCACTCTTAATCACCCTTATGGCTCTGGAAGCAGCGACCATCGTCATTCAACGAACTATATGCCGACATCTGAGCTCATCCCCACCATCTTGATCGCCTTTACCCTCTTTACCCTTGCAGTCCTACTCATCGCCATTCGACAGGCCTGGAGTTGCTGCCATCGTAGAAGAGAGGCAAGAGTGAGGCTCCTGTTTCATTATATTCCCCATTACCCGCCACGGACAGTCATAATTCCACTGGCACCGCAGCCAACCCTACATGATGGAAGACCCATCACACCCCCAGGAGGAAACTCCAGTACAGAATCCGGAACAGAGTCAAGCACCGACTCCTACTGAACAGCCTCAGTCGACATCACAGATACCCGGGGCGTACTCCTCAACAGAGGAGACTCACCTGTACCAGGCCTCTTCAACGTCCCTGCACTCTCAAGCAAGTCAGGAAGTGACGAAGAAGGGTCTCTGGGGTCGAGCCAAGGAAGCCCTCTCAACCTCTGGGATGACGAAGGCAGGAGGATCCAGAACTTCCTCGAAGTGGATGGGCTCAGAGAAGAAGAAGAATCTGACCCTGATTCAAAAGACCAGTGGGCAATCAATGAAGTCCGGGGAGGAATCCCAGGAGATGACATTGAACAAGATGATGGAGAGCTCGGCCTTGGGGCCTCCACCGCGACTACCACCAATGCAAATCCAACAGACCCCTCTCGACCAGGAATGGCAACGGCTAGCTGGCCAACAGAAAGAGGCATCCCAATCGCCTGGTACCCCACAACCTCCTGGGTCTTTGCAGGGGAAGAAACTCCTGTGGTCAGAGTACCAGCCAAGGGGATCTCGGCAGAGCCCACCCAAGAGACCACTACCACAACTGCCCTCACTGACGTGGAGAATCAGCAGATCTGGGATGAGATCGAGGAAAGTAACCCTGATCGCACTGAGCCAGGTCCCAGCACCATCGAGTTCCCCTGTATCCCCACGTTCACCCCCGGTGTCCCGCCAAGAGCATTCGCCGTCCCCATCCCTCAGTACCAGCGACCATGGCCACTTCTCTACCACACACTCGTCGAGTCCCTCCAGCTCACTCGAGCTGCCAGGATCTCTCCAGCTGAGCAGGCCTGAATGGACAGAGCTTGAGAGAACAATGCACAAATCCGATCCACAGAGATCGCCAACCTCCAGGGCCTCGATGGCAACTGGGAATTACCCCTTGAGCCCGATGCCACAGAAGCAGAGATCGCCCACAGAGTCGCAACCACTGCCCTTCGATACACCGGAGTGGTACGAAGAGCTGGAGCAGACCTCGAAGAGAGAAGAAATGCCAGGTGGAACTATCAGTGTGAGCTATACGATGAGGACTCAGACCTCTACCGTGCAGGATATCGAGGGAACATGCCCTCTACGTCCACCGACTTCAGCAATCACCCCAGAAACCCTGAGGCAGGTCCAAGCCGTCGTCACTAGGAGAGTAATGACCACCCTGGCCATACTCTACTTTACAAGTTGGGAATTTTTATATGAAATACTGGCTGAAGACATGGTTAACGATCCTCAGTGGCTCCTCATGGAAGGAGGAGAAGATTACCTGGATGCGTGAGCTGGAGGAGGAGACGTCATCATGATGAGGAACATAGTAGAAGTAGACATGTGGCATCAGACCGCTCAGGTCTGGAACATGTGCCACCCCGAGGATCCGTGACCAGGTTGTGCCTCATATCGACATCCAGCGGTCATGCCAAACCCATGGGAAACCAAGACGCTCAGAGCAGGAGCAGAAGGAGGGGCTGGACCATCAGATCCCAACATGGAAAAGGGAGCGACAATGCCACCATCGCAACCAGTCGACCCCCCCAGAGTGCCGTACCATAATTGACCTGGTGGGTACCCCTTGCCACGTCACAATCGAAATCTTCGATCTTTGCCATGACCTCCAAACCCCCCAATGCTCCCAGTGCTGCCATCACCACCTAATATGCCACTGGCTTGGCAGCTAGGACTGGCAGATCCGAACCTGTGGGACGATGTCAAACCCAAGTTGATCGCCCTCCCAGAGTATTTCGTCAGAGAATCCTCAGACATCGACTGATACCTCCACCACTGCAAGCTGTACTTCGCAGTATTTCCAAAGTACTACACCCTCAACCAGACAGGGCAGAATCCGTACCGGATTACTTTTGCCCAGTCGTATTTATGAGGGGACGCAAAGAAATGGTGGACTGATCAGTATTACCGATATCGTGACAAAGAGGGGCATTGGAGATTACCGTCCTAGGCCGAGTTTGTAGATGACTTCACCATGAGGTTCCGAGAGGTGGCAGAATTGCCAATCCTGAAACAGCAGTGGAAGAAGATCAGGCAGTCCGACTTCAAATCGGCCGTGGAGTTCTTCGTGAAGTTCGAAGAACTAGCCCACAAATGCGCAGAGTTTGGAGACGAGAAGCAAATGTTCAAAACCATTGAAGCTGCTATACGCCCGACGGTCCAAACAACCATTATGCACGGGGACAACGAACATCCCACCACATACATTGAATGGAAAAGGTGCGTCGAAAGGATAGACGCCAATTATCAATATGGCTTGGCCCAAGGCCAAGCAAATAAGTCCTCCCCGGGCCAACCAAGCTTGGGTTGAGGCCACCAAAATCAGTCATCACAGAAGTCAGGAGGGGCCGGAGATAAGAGGGATGCTACCGGAACGACGTATGGAGGAGCCGGGCAGCTGATGGAGATCAATAAACTATGAAGCGATCAGAGGTGCTTCAAGTGCAGAAATACCGGGTGGAGCCGAGAACATAAATGTCCCATGGACAAATCGAAATGGCTCTCCATCAAACTCCCACCAAGCAAGAAGATCCTCACCCAATGACTACGACAGCTCCTTAACAAGGCCAAGAAGGAAGAGAATGGCAAGGACACAAAGATTGAGGAGGTGAAAGAGGACAAGTCATCAAAAGACGAGCCGGCATCGAAATAAGCGATTCGACAGCGTTGGCAAAGGACTTAATTTCTGATGGTATGCACTCTCCAGTCGCTGGTCAGACTTATACTATGTATATAGGGACTCCATATGAACAATATACCAATTTTTTCGCCACGTTACCAATTGAAGAAATTAAGGAAGAAGAATCGCAAGATGCCAAGGGCATAGGAGGGGATTTCCGCTGCTCCATGCAGTCAGCATCCAGCAATGAACCCCTAGGGGCCATCCGAGCTCAGGAACCCCCGCTTGACAGTATAAGGAAAGTTCGGGATGCAACCGAGAGGCCCTCATGTCAAGTTCAGACTGAACGACGGTCCGCGTCCAGTCACCCTAGCAGGGAGAAATGGCCGACAACCCCAGCTACTGTGCCTACTCTGATTGTTGCAGTAGCAGACATTGAAAAAGCAGCTGAGGCCAGGAACCGAGGGGACCCCCAACGCTTAGTAGCCACGGCAAACAGCGTTGACCCCCGAGGGGAGCCAATATGTGTGCGTTCACAAAGGGTTACCATGAGTACCACTGGGTTTCATGGAGCTGAGAAGGACAGAACAGTGGAGGTTGCAACACCGAGCACAAGCACCTGTGGCCAGGGCCGAACATGGGGCAGCGAGCCCCCCTCCACCACCTCGTTGAACAGCGACCAACTGCCACCTAAGGGCTCTCTTTGGCCTGGTGACCAAATGCTGCCATGAGGACAAGTATCCTGACCCATGACGCTGGAAGAAGTAGAAGACGAAGAAGCACACCTATGGTCCAACATCCCGACAGGACCACCCCGACGAATGCACTCAGTACATGCCAAGCAGCTTAGACGTCCTACCCTGGTGCCT